CAACAATAGCAACTAAAATAAGGCTTAAAGCTTCAAAATGAGCTCTGGAAGTTTAAATATACATACAGAACAGAACATGTGGAAAATATAGAACGCTCCATAAAAAATCAGTTCCTAAATGTTTACATGTCTAATCTTATTTCTAAATGTCTCTCTCTAAAGAAAGTTGGTGTACTTATGAAAACAGTGTCTTAATGAGTAAATGTTCATCTAAACACTCCTGTGTTTTCATCTTTTATACAAAAAAGCAAACTATGCAAACATGAAACCCAAATGTTAAAATATTGACCTAATTCTTAAATATCTTCCTAAATGTCCCAGTTAACACAACCAGTATTTGAAAAATAAATTTTCTTACTTCTCCAGAGATCGGATTAGTTCCGTACTTCTTAATCCACGGAACGATGCTCCTAAAAAAGAGAAGAGAGGAAAGCAGAGAAAGAAAGTAAATGCAACAATACACATTTATTATAACAGTCTGCTGTTTTATTACAAAAACCGTTTTAATCTATCAAAATATTCATCACAGTTGTGTAAAAGCTAAACCAACACAGCTGTTACTCTAAAGGAGACAAATCAGTTCATCCACTTGCAAAACTCTTAAAATAATATATTTTACTGTTAATTTTACACTGAAATTTTTAGAAAAGTTCAACCTTTAATTAATTTGAGCATATTATTCATTGGGGAAAAATACCACATTAAAATCTAATTATTCAATAATTCTCCTGGGTTTTTAGGTTTCTATTAATGCCTACTTTCTAATCAACTCCCGTTTTCCTGCAGAAGAAATAAAACACGACACAGGCAGTCATTTCTTTTAGCAACTGAACAATAAACTGGAAAATTCAAAATCTATCAATATAATATTAGGTTACTGTATTGAAATGATAATGTATGTTAGATTCTTGCATCTTTTTAAAGGGTGATAATTAATTAAACAGTTCAAATTCAGTACAAGTTACTCACAGCAGGTCAAACACGACTCCCTCCTCAGTGCAGACGGGATACTCAAACGGCTGCAGGGACAAGCTGAAACGAAGCCAAAAAAGGTAGAATATAGAGTTATTTCAATAAAAACAAAATGGAGAACAGTGAATTCATCCTTTTATTGTTTTCTGTCAACAAACACCTCACAAAACATAGAAAAACAAATGTTAGAAGGTGTTCCAGGTAGTTTCATAACCTCTTGGTAAAGAAAGGAATGTTATAATTTATGCAACAGCTCAAGATTTTGGATCTTTAAGACTAATAAAAAAAATAATAATCAAAGTATTGGATTATTAGTAAAAAGACCGACAGGCAGAACAAATGAAACAAAGAACAGAAAAACAGAATAAAAACAGTTTTTTTTCCTCCAGCAGGATAAGAGATTTCTTCTTACCTGCAGTGGTCAAACGGAAGCCGTTTAAAGTTTGATCGGGGGATTTCTGAAAAATAAAGCCAAAACTGAAAATCCAACCATCGTATCGGTTCAGTCATGTTAGATCAAAGCTGCCCAGGTTTTGTAGTTGTTGTTTTAAGTTTAATTTAAGAATTTATCACAAACAAAAACTCTACTCCTTTGAGGAATATTTTAAGTTTCAACAATACATTTACAACATCAACCTGATGTTCTTTCCAGTTACTATAAAGTGACTTATGTTAATTTCTAACTCCATGTCTACTTTTTACTTTAACTTGAGTAAAGAGATGTTCAAGTAGTGCTATTCTTAATTCAAGTACAATATTTAGGTACTCTTCCCACCTCTGCTCTAGATATAGATGAATTACATTATTTCTGACACATTCTCCCATTTCCGGAGTCTCGTAATAACAAACTTACACCTATCTCCATATGTTATAAAACAATGACGTATGAAACCACTAATAAATCGACAACTTAAAGGCCCTTCATAAAACATGATCAAGACAAACAAGACAGTCACAACTGTTATCTAAAATAAAGGATTGACGTAGTTGAAAGTCACCTGCTCGTTTCCCTCCATAAAAATTGGTGTATTCCGTACATGTGATGTACCTGTAATAATGTTAAAATACACAAACATTAATAAAAAATAAAGAAGAAACACTTACAAAGCTTTTAATTTAAAGAAACACCACAAACAAGCTAACGTGTGCTAGCATGCTAGCTTGTTAGCGGAGGAGGTAAAACGTATTTTTATGACGTCGTAAAGGTTTTAATCTTACATTTTGTCTTTTTGGTGCTGTCGCTTCCCCATCTTTACTGTGTGGAAAAATCTGAACTATTAAGATATTAACGGTATATCATACAAGCTCTTTGCCTTCTCTGTACTTCTTGTTTGGTGTCGTTCTTGTTCTTCTTTTTTGAGTTTTGAGTAAACTTTATTAGCGCCCTCTTCCGGACCAGTCATTCATCACAAGTCTCTTAAAAGGATCTTTATTCTACAAAAACTGATTTCAACTTTGACTGAAATAATGTGATATTAAAACTCGGTTAACCAGCACTTCATGATCAATATTCTCCTTTGATTCTTACATCTCCTGCATACCATAAACAAATATGGTAACTACGAAGAGCCATTTCAGCCAAATTTAAATAAATAAATACATCTGAGGAATATCAATAATAATAAATAAAGCAATAATAAAACAGAAAATAAATTAGGTAATGTATTTGGAAATAAGTAAATAAATTAGGAAATAAATTAATGACAAAGTATAATTGAAAATAGATAAATAAATATATTAGGAAAAAAATAATTCATATATGTTGTAGATATTTCCTCATTTATTTATTTAGTAATTGTCAGTTTTGGCAAGATTAGTCTTCCCTGTATGCAACACTAGAGCATATTAGTTATAAAAACCAGTAAGATTCTTCCCAATGATTGTCTATGTTCTTATTCTGTAGCCTTCTGTAGCAGGACAGAATGGAGTGGGTAGCATCATGCTAGGATTTTATTTTATTATTATTATTACATCAAAACTGCTCAAACACATTATTAAACTCCCCCAAATGATGCAATATTCATGCCCACAATGAGTGACTCTAACTATGACCACACTCAATCCACAACCTCCTTACATAAAACAACAATAACAACCAAATTCATCTATAAGTTTATTTTCTTCTTGGCATATAATTGATAGTTATGGCTACAAGAGAGAGGAGCAATCAAATTAAAACAATGTGGACAATGAACACGTTAGTAACATACAGTGGTGTGAAAAAAATCAGATTTTTATCATTTTGCTTCTTGTCACACCTAAATGTTACAGATCATAAATAAATTTAAATATTTAACAAAAATAAGTTTTAAAAAATTCAGATGAAATTTTTGCCACTTTGTTTTGCTTTATCAGTCATTCTGAGGTAGACTTGCTGCTGTGATTTGGATTATTCGCTTCACCTTCATGTTTTCTTTTTGCTAAACGTAACATGGAGCTCTTGTGACCTCCTGGTTGAATCTTTGATGCGTTTTGGAGTAACTTTGGTTGACAGATCTCTCCTGCAAAACTTCTCCACTGCTGAATGTTTTCTCCATTTGTGGATTATGAATCTCATTTTGGTTCACTCACGTCCCAAACTCTTGGGAATTACTTAGTAACCCTTTCCAGACTGATGTACATTGATGGCTTTAAGTTTTGAGATGTTTTATCTAGCAGAGAAGCTCTATTCGTGTTATTACATCAACAATAATAAAAAAATTGAGCTTGGTTGTCTTAAAGGAAAGCCATTAGGCTTCTTTTTAAACAAGTTACGATAGGCTTATGGGCTGTACAAAATATGTTAATTCCATTTTTTTGTCAAATTATTCTGAAATAATGACGTTTCACCTCCTCAGTTCAGCCTATTTTGAGCTCCTTTCAGAATGAGTTGTTTTAGGGCTCTGTCCCTTTTATGCAAATAAGCTGCTACTGGTCCCGCCTCTTCAACTCACAATTTGTATTTTATTCACTTGCCTTTTCCAGCAGTCATTACACAACATGGTGAAACTGAGAGTAGGGCTGTCGCAATAAATCAATTAATCACATGATAAATTTAAAAAAGCTCAATTTCTATTTGCATTTATCCATCACTTTTCTCTCTCTATCAAAAACTGGATGACAAAAGTATTTCTTTCTAATGCTTTGGTCTCAACAAGCCCCTTTTTTGAAGGACAATTTTGTTTACAGAGACTTCATAATTCATTTGGCTGTTTTTGTTGTTTTATGTATTTTGGATATTTAAAATGTCTTCCAGTTAAAAATGGCTTCGTAACAACATTATTGTCCAGACAAATTTGTGCTCCACTGTGTGGAACTCTGCTGGGGTTGCTAGGTAACGGGCTGGGCTTGGGTTGCCAAGCAACAGGTGATGTCTATATTGTAAGGTTTTTGAAATGCCTCCAACACCAACAAAACATTAAATTATTGCCAGAAAGAGGATTAATATATTTTTTGGCGCTTTGATATTAATGGAAGTACAAAAAATGAATTTTGCATAAGTTTCCTACAAAAAGGGCAGGAGGAAGCTGTTTAGCCACAGTTAGCCACAATGGAACAAGTCATTGGATAGCTTTTTATCCTTTAATTAATTAAATTATCATTTAAAAACTGGTCTTTAAATTTACTTATATTTGCTTGATGATCTGAAACATTTAAGAGCGACAAAAAAAGCAAAAACAAAATAAATCTGTTTTTTTCCTCACGGCAGCCACCCACACTCAATTGCTTATTCACACCACCCTATGACGACGAGTAGAAATCTTAGATCTACTATCCGCCTGTCTCCGAAAACAAATACAAGGAATGAAGAAATGATTAAAAAGATGGCTCCCGTCACAAACCGGAATAACATTTTAAACCAAATTCTTCATTTGGTGAATAAAGGGAAACTTGAATACCAGGCAGGAACAGCAGCACTGCCTGCATACCTGAGTAACTGCTGGCTTGCATCTCATCAGTAATATCACTCCAAAAGCTAACAGAAAAAACCCAAAGAGTTTGGAACAGTTGGCGTAAAAAACAACAACAAAAGAAAACTCAACAAAGTATGAATGTTCACATCCTTGGCACTTTATCGTCAGGTAGAATCAAAATCTCACCTGTCAGCGGTCACTGACAAACATGTTGAAAGAAGAAAGCAGAACAGAGAACAAGTTAAGGACAAAAAACAGAAGCACGGAAAAGACAAGAGGTTCTGAAGTCCATGAGTCTGATAGTTGTTTGATGGTTTGGAAAGTGCAATAATATATGAATGTTCAACACAGTTCCTCTTGAGAAGAAAAGAAGTCTAAATAAACGGTAAACATGTAGCCGGCGCTTTTCTCAGTACGGTCCGGGAAAATAAAACGAGTGTTTTCAGCTTCTTCCAGTAAAACACGTTCAGTTCGGTTAAACAGTCCTCGAGTGTTTGGGTGGAACCAGAAGATCACCGCAGGTCCATCATGCTCACAGCGTCGTCCGTGATGTTCACATGTCCGGCGTGCTGAAAAGGAGAAACGCATTTAGAGAAAGTCTCTCCACCAAGTCGACCTGCTGCACTAACTGCGTTTACATTGAAATGGAATTACAAAAATGAATTAGCTTAATGATAACTTTGATAAAAAAAAGGATTTTGCGGGAGGATGTGGTGGTTTTTTGGCTCTATTGCACTGCAAAAACACAAAATCTGATCTAGCATTTTTGGTCTGATTTCTAATACAAACATCTTAATACGCTTGAAATAAGACAAAACTAACAAACATTTCTGAAAAAATTAGGAGTTTGTTTTATGTAAATAATTTCTTAATATTGATGAAAAATTGCTACTTTTGCAGATTATTGGCAGGTTATTTCACTTGTTACAAGACATTTTTGCCTTGCCATGAGTGAAATAATCTGAACCAGCTCTTCTTTCCCGATTTTAAGGAATAACGTCCAGATTTACTGCGCCTGGCTTCTTCTGGTGCAGAATTATGACGCTTGTTTCACATTAACGACATAAAAGTCGGATAAAATGCGACATGACCGTTCAAACTACAGACAGTTTGAAAACTATGGGATGCAACTCAGTTCCACATATAGAAGTGGCACAAATTGGATGTTTTGTGGGGGTGAAAAGATTGAAACTGGGTCATTCAGACTGTCATAAAAATTCAAATGGAGGTTGCATCTGGATGGAAATAAATAAATAAAATTAAAGTTAAAATTTTTATACTCACTGTGAAGAGAGGAGGATCTTTGCTGTGAGGATGGAAGCCCTTCTGTTTACACGAAGAGATCTCATCCGTTCCTCGATCGGTTAGCCGGAAGTAGCCAATTCTGACCAGGAAAACAATCGGAAAAGGTTTGAAACAATCACAGCGGAAATGACCGGAAAACTCCCGGGTTTTCCCCTCGACTCACTCGTTGAATTTCGGCGAGCAGACGATGGCGATGGCCTCGGGCAGCATGATCTGGTAGGAGCAGTGTGTGTGGAGGTCGACGCTGGACAGGAAGGCGGTCTGCGTCGGGTGAGTCTGCGAAAACGAAAACTAATATTACTGTAACTTTTAACATTAACAACATAAACTTCCCGAGCATTTAAAGGTATTTATCGCTCGATAATAAATGCAGATTTTCTCTGATTCATAAAACTAACTTTGATGTGTCCCAAACTTTTCGAGGTGCGATCAAAGACACCAAAAATGTTTGATTCGTGAGATGGAATGAGATGGGGTTTTTTTTAAAACAGAAATAATGTTTGTAGGAGTGAAACTGGTAAAAAAAAAATTGACAGAACAGAGACGGAAACTGTTCAATAATCATAGGAAAAACAGAAAGTCGATCTATTTTTGAGGGAAAGAGAGAGAGAACTTAAAAAAACTAGAAGGAAAGACGAAATGAATGAAAGGAAAGAAGGAAAGAGGTAAGGAGGTAAGAAAAAAGGAAGGAAGGAAGAATTGACAGACAGAAGGACGTATCAGACGCATCGGTTGGATGGATTGGTTGATGGTTGGATGAGCTGCGTCTGCCTGAGCAGAGCAGGAAGTGATGTCAGCAGCTTCCTGTCACTCACATGGATCCATCCCAGGGTGATGAGGTCATGCTGGTCCTGGATCAGGAACAGCTCCTCCTCGTTCTCAGTGTCACAGTAGTCCGGCCCGCCACACTGCTTCGGCACGATGACGTGGGTCACAGTGAACGCATTTCTGGTCTGGAGCGAACACAAACCAGTCAAAGGATGCTGAGTCATGATAAATGACCAGGAACTTTAACGGATTATAAACTTAGGATTTTATGCAGTCAACCCACAGAGTGACACATAACTGTGAAAAGAATAAAATAATAAAATCTGAAAAGTGCGGGGTGGGTAGACCCCTTGCATGTTATTGTTTACATCAGAAATTTAGCAAAAAGGCTTTTCTTTTATTTTCCATCCATGGCCGCGGTGGAACAATTTGTTAATAAAATGAATCCCGGAGACGTTGGGGTTATTAATTTAGTTCAGAGCGCCACAGCAAGGGAAAAATA